GCAAACGAAATTACATTAAAAGACTATATCTTGTTAGGTAAGGGTTTTAAAACGAAAATGTTATTCTTTTCTAATTATGTTAGAGCTTTTTTTTTTCTTTTTTTATATTTATGGTCAAGATTAAGGGCACACCCCATATTAGTTTGGTACATTTAAAAAAATTAATTTTGATGAGATCACTTTGTTATTTGCTTTCTTTAAAACTTTTCAGTATAATTTTTTTATGTCCTAAATTTCTCCATTGTCAATATTAAAAGGAAAAAATAAAAGGTAAAATCAATTAATAGGTATTAGTTTCAACTACGAATGACTGAAAGTTTTAAAGATATCATATTCGAATTCCCCCATTATTAGGGAAGTGAGCACACTCATCATGGGATAAATTGTAGCCTTGGCCTGCCCAATCTAGAAGGGGGAAAATGAGTGAAATGGAAGTGGGTGGAGTTGGTTGGATGATGGATGGATGAGGGACATCATTCTCTCATACATATGGGACTGTCCCTCTAGATTGAGGCACACATGCCATGACTCTTTTGGCTCATATAAAAAAATTAAAAAAAAAAAAGAAAAAAAAGAAGGGTGCCATGACTCTTTTATGTACTTTACTCGTTATAGTTCTTCATTTACTACTCCCTGCCAGAAAAATAGGAGTTTGCCTTAACTACCACACTACATGATTCTGCAAACCTTTTTTTGCCTCTTTTTGGTGACTGTCAAAACCTTACTGAATATAGGATGCAATCAATTATGCATTCAAGAGTTCAATCAAATCCAATGCAACTTGAGATATTGTTACAAGGTCCCTCTCATTTCTTCTTTCTGAAATTCCACATCAAATATTCAGATCCATTCCTGTAAGAGCAGCTATACCAGAAAACACGCAAGGCAAAGATCAGAGATCTAAGGTCACCGCACCTCGACTGCGGGACTCAGAGCTTACTGCACCTCAGCCTCTCGCCGAAAGTGTATGGCAGCCACAATAGGCATGCCCTCATCTGATCATTTGTCCCTACCAGAACACCCCTTCTCAAGGGACCTGCTCCGTCAGAATACACCACGCGCATTTAATGCGATCACTCTGTTAAGGCACGTTACGTTCACCTAAAACGTCTACTCCGTCAAGCGCACTATGTCACCATTATTGGGTTGACTGAGCCACGTGGGTGCGGACAAGCCACGTGGGTACCTTGCCAAGATGGACAAAGCCCGCAAGGTAAGGTTCGATAAATAGGCGGAACAAAAAGAAAAACATGATTGGAAAAATACTGACTTAAGCATCGGAGTTTCTCCCCGAGGACCAACCTCGGGATTTTGCAGGACCATTTGGAGAAGGATCAACTCAAAGCAGGAACTCAAGGATATTCAACAACTACAATTCCCTTCTTGCAATCTTCTATTAGGATAAAAGAACATGGTGTTATATACAGATCAACTTGTGCACACGTCATATTCGACTAAATTCATCATTTTTATCCAATTAAAAGTAAGTCATTCCTATTTGTGCTAAAGTAGTTCATTCATGGCAAAATTAAGAGATGTACAAGCAATATCATCTCTTTGTAGTTAACAAAACAAAAGAGCAAATCTCATGCTTAATTATTAGGCCAATTCCTTTATAAATTGGTAAAGGGGTATCTTATTCCTTTTGTGCAAATTGCAAGGGTGAAATTAGAAATGTCCTTTCTAGTTTAATCAACTGGTAAAATAAAATATTAATCTGGACTAAAAGTAACCAAATTCCAACAATTTAAAACAGCAAACTCCAAGTGTACTAAATTATAAGCATTTTAATAATAAAAAGAAAGATAGTTTATAGTTCAAATTGTATTTGACTACAAAATATAATCCATTATATTATGAGTGGTTTTTTACTCTTAAGAAAAGGTTTTTCTATTTAATAACTAATATTTTACAGATTAATAATACAATTTAAAGATTACAAAACACCAAAATCTTTCGTAATTTTCAATTGCATACTAATATTTTATTTTTAATTTCTATTCGAACAATTCTCAAAGATAGAGACCAAAGTACAACACAAAAGCATGCAAAAGTTTCACTGCTAAAAGCAAATGTCACTTTTAAGTCTAAAGTTGGATAATTTTAAATACTCAAAGACTAGTGAGACCGTGATATTTTTAAAGCTGTGATTAAGCCACTTTTAGCCATTTTCGCAAGCCACATACTAATCAATGTTGCTAAGAATAAAATTATTTAGAGCTGCGATTTATTGGATTATTATTATTGTTAAAAGAGTTAAAAGATTAGTACTTTTTGGGGGACAAAGGTTAAAAGGTGGTAATTTGACTAACACAAGAGAAAAAAAAAATTAATATTATGACTATTAAAAAATTGTAAACTAGGAGCAACGTTGCCTCGATCTCCCTTCCTCTACCTCGTTTCTCTATCTTGTGCTTATTTTTGTTGTCACTGTGCAAGTTTGTTTATCATGGGTTGAGGCTTCTTTTTTTCTTTTCTTTTTCCTTTTTTTTTTTAATGAAAGTGTATACATCTTGCATTGAGGATTAGTTGGTTGGTACAAGTCGCGTCTTGTTTGGACAAAAATTGAGTCTGGATTGAGCAGCAAAGAAGAACTGTAAAACAGACTTTGGGTTGTCTTTATATGACAGATACTCCGCTGTTCGAGTCTACAATATTCTATACTAAAACTCCTTTAGAAAGAGCAAAAAGAAAGAGGTGCCCATGAGTGTTTATGCATGTATTCCTTATCCTTACACTTTAAGTTTATCGGCCTCTAACATATTTATGAACTAGTTACATTAACGTCTCAAAATAGCCTTTTTAGGGGTTCGTCTTGTGATGTTGTTGATAAACCCAATAGCTTTGGAGCCAAACAATTTTTAACTTGTAGGTGCAGTACTCTTTTTCTTTGTTTTGAGATTTTTTTTTCTTTATTTTTTAGAGCTTTTTTTTTTTTTTTTTTTTTTTGCTTTTATTTTTTAGAGCTATTAGTGAAGAAGTATCTACAGAAGAAGTGTAAGGATAAGGGATTTATCCTTGACCTAAAGATTATATTCTTTTTTATGAACTCAGTCATTTTATACCTATGGATCTCTATGAAGATGACAGAGTATGAGATAGTAATTTGGGATTGCATAATTAATAAAAGATATGTAATTTTTTTATTTTTTTATTTATTATATATTATGTAATTTAAATTAAAATTTTCTTTTTTTAATAAAAAATTAACATAATTGTTATTTTGGACTACGCAAAACTCTTGGTCAACTCAAGAAAGTTTTTTACTTCCATCAATTCCATCAAAATAATAAATTGTCCTACAAGTATTAGTTAAAAAAATGTCATATCAAGCATCAATTCAAAGTCTCGAATTCTCCTGCAATTCTCACAAAAATAGTGAAATGAAATCAAAATCAAAATCTAACACTACAACCACAAGAAAATTAGGAAAACAAATGATAGAAGGCAATCATTCCACAACTTTTCAAAATTGAGAGACCCACACCACACAACACTGAGGTTATTGTCAAAGAAATATTTTGTTAAAGATTACAAATTTTAATAGTAATTTTATTAGTTTATAATTTCTCAAATAATTAATTAAGATATTTTAAAATATTTATTTATAAATTACTTTGTATTTATTTTTAATAGATTTAGTTTATTTTTTTAATTAATTTTTTGATAAAAATTTTTTAC